CTTAAATTGTATTAGGGAAACTTTCTGGATTCCACAAAGACGGCAAAGTGTAAAAAAGGGTGATTAAATCTTGTGTAATATGTCGCCGTGTGGATGCCAGATCCTATATGTACCCAGGTCCTCCACCATTGCCAAATGAGCAATTTGAGTCGTTTAGCAGCGAACTCCGCCCAGCCACAGTGTGGAAAATACTGTATATATTTTCCAGAAATACAGTAGTTATATGTAAATAGATGGCCATACTGTCTTTAATAAAATTTATGTTATCGAAAACGGGAAGCTGCGCCTGCATAGAAGGTCAGTCACCATTGTTGTTTGAATGGAGTAACAGACGTTAAATGTAATGAGAAGAATTTTTCGTGCTCTAGAGGTTAAAATTGGGCTGACACCTCTCAAATAGGAGATGAAATTGTTGGATGTGCATTCCTGCATAACTTGAGTATCAGGCGACAGGACAGGACAACTCCAGGAACCTGAGATAAGCTGTCTAATTTATGTTTAAATTCTGGCCAGTAAATTTTTCATAAATGTAGGCAAAAAGGGGGGGGGGGTCCTGTACATGACACATTAATCTCCAGTCAAATTGGTGAGTGATATTAAGATATTTTCCTTCTGTCATGTAAATGTGTATATATATAATCCTTTATTAATTTAATATACAGTCCACAAATTTATATATTTACCAGAATTCCTGGTGTATGTATATTTCATTTATAATTAATAGGTCCAGAGCAACTTGTGGATATGACAGTGGTAGGTATCGAAGGGGGACATTTTTTGCGACCTAGGTGTCCAAAATTCCTACTTGTTTAACTGATAAATAATAATTATCTTTGTTCATTTACTGTTATGTACATAATGATACATTCAGAAAAATGAAATTTTCCACAGGACGCATGAATATTATGGAATTTAAATGGGCTTACATTACCATAAGGTTTCAGTGGCGGTTCTAAGTAGTTCTGAATACTGCTCACAAGGTCATTGTTAAAGGTCTCAATGGAGGAACACTCATAGGAATTATACCAGTCAGTCACATGTGCAACAAAGTCATCATGCTGATCAGGGGGAACATTAAAACGTTTCTGTTTGAATATCCCACCCGGAAGGTTAGTATTACCAATATCTAGTGAGGTTAGCCTTGGGGAATGATCAGATGATATATCTGTTACAATAGAAGACCCACAGCTGGCAGAAGTAATGTTGAAGCCCAGGCACAGATCAAGGATGCCTGCATAGATGTGTGTGGGCTCAAGGTCACCTACAATTTGCACATTATCATGACTGTTTAAGAGTGACAACAGCTGATTACCATTACGATTACCAAACTGAGTTTCCAATGCTTTTGTCTTGCATTATACTCGCCAATAATAAGAGTAGGTTCACAAGTTGGAAGCTCCAAGTAATTAAACTTATCAGCAGGAGCAACGTACCACACAATTCCAGTCGGCCTCACGACCGCTAGGGCGGGGAGTGAATGAAGATGGACCAAAACATCCCTCACAGAGGCATTCTTAACTTTGTCGTGACCCTCTGCTGGACCATAAGCACACACAAACGCCACCCATTCCCTCTCCCACAACCCATCCACCCTCCCCTCACCACCCTCTTCACTACGATGTACAACATACGGGCTGGTTTCCCTCACCATTATAGCTACGCCCCCTTTCAAACGCAACGAGTGCGCCACTAAAACAGCATATCGTTCCAGTCACGGTATTGTCCCTTTTTGTTATTTATTAAAACAGCATAACTCTCAATCACCAACTTGCATCCAAGTTTGTGATTGTTCTCTTTCACAAGCACAACATCCACACCATTCTGACCTAAAAATGCACTAAACCACCTACATCTTTAACCTATGCCTTAAACCATTGACGTTGACAGTTAAACACCTGAAGCTGACAGAGATTTCCCTTTGGGCACTGATACACCTTGATCCACCTGTCTACGACGACCAGCCGACCCCCAAAAACCACCTTTCACAGTCCCTGGTCCTTTGAATCCTCCAGGGCCACTCTTTGTCATGTCTGCCCACACCTTTTTACCAGAACATTGTGCCAGAGTCAACACATCCTCTGGTACAGAGAATGCAGCTGCCCTCTTTTGTGATCCACTATCCTGTTCTATTGCTTCCTCTTGGAGGCCATCATTATGAATAACTGCCTCCAATGGATAGATTTCCATAGTGTCAGCCACACTTTCCTCAGTCACTTCACCTACCACGTCCCCTCAATCCACCTCGGACGCGAGGTTAACAACAATCCCCTCCACTGACCCCGCATCTGGGGTACCCAACAGATCATGCAGCACCGTATCTATCTGTTCGAGCCTCCTCAGGCGTCACACCACCTATAACCTCAGGTTCTGGCCCCAGAGTGCTCTGGACTCCCGGAAGCGTCACACAGGCCTCCTCATGCAACTCCACCTGCTCCACTTCCACACTCCACGCCGAACTCAGCATAGTCGCTCTCTTCCTCGTCCCAGCCGTGTCCTCCTGAACAACCAGAGCCTCCTGATTACGTCCAGCATCCTTCGACCCCTGCCGACGACCACACTGTGCCACAATGTGATCATAGGCCCCGCATACTCAGCAAGTGCGACGCTGCCCCGCATATGCGACCATCACTTGCGTCCTGAAATCTTCCAAGATCATAAATGACGGGATGGGGTGTCTCAACGTCATTTTCAACGTGAACGTTCCCTCAGGTAGTCTAGCATACGTTCCTTCTGTCCACTTTCCCACCGTAGCCACGTGAACCATCTCATATCGTTCAAAAACATCTCGAAGATCCTGCTCGTCAGCCTCAAAAGGCACATTTCGGACCTTTATCCATATGTAATAACGAGACACGTCATGCAGTCGCACACTTAATGCAGGGTTGACGTCGAGGCAAACCTTTTGAAACCTGTCCACCAAATTCTCGTAGACACCAAGAATTTGGCGGACACCGTTCAGTGCCACACCATACAACTCCTCGTTGGCGACACAGTATCACAAATAATGGCTGGTAGCAATACCGAAGCATTCTGTGCAGATACCGCCCCTCGCACCAATTCTATGCAGTGTTTATGCTTCGTCGTCCCTGCTGCGCCATTTTGTGAAAACCAACTCTCACACAGCAGAGCTGCAGTTACTATCACCAGTGATTCACTATCTCTCAGGATGGTCTCTCACACAGATGGGTAATCAATGGAGGCGTTAAATCCGTATGGGTCATACAGCATCTGGTAATGGGAGGCAACCAGGTTTATAAAACACATCTGTGGTAATTACGACATTTATTGAAACGACGTTTTCACTAAAATTTGACTATCAATCCAGTCTGGTTGGATTACTGAACCTAAATAGAAATACGTCACAGTGTATTTTAGGTTATCCTAGGTAATATATACACATGTTAATTTGTATGATAATTATAATCACCTAAATTTGTGTAATTATACGTATGTGTAACTGTAGGTAAATAAACTTACATAAGACAAGGGTTAGCGACACGTCTAAGTTTATTAAGGTACAGGTACATATAAGTACAATTATTATACTTAGTTTAACATATATGTAAATTACCCAGGATAACCCAGAAAAAATCAGACTTAAGAAATATCCTCATTACTACATATGTATCTTGTATAAATGTTGGTATTACTCACCATGTGTTATCTCGGATAAGATCACCGGAAAGGGAAGATAAATCCAGTTCCTTGGATCAAATCTCTGGCATAAAGCATCTTCCGTAAGGGGTCATGCTATATAAAATACCCTAATTAAGTATTTTGTTTAAATTATAACAGCAGGCAAGTTTTTTTACAGTTACCATAACTGATCTGATGGAGGTGATTATTTTTTTTTTACTTTCTTATTTAATTTTGCAAATTAAGGACCATATATATAACAGATTCATGTTTTATATAATCTTTATACATGTCATAAAAAGCGCATTATTATACGAAAGTAATTTGTAAAATAATGCGAATATCCTCTAACAAATAATGAAAAGGTTGTTTTTTTTCACACACACACACACATATATATATGTGTAGTGTTGTATATGCCAAGAGCTGCAGTGGTAATGTTACTGTTTGACTCTTGTGAGTTATGTGAGGTTATATACACACATATTACTGTGTAAGACAAATGCAGGTTTTTCAAAATTATTTAAAATTGTAATTAACTAAACTCGGCACTCGGTAAATAAAATGTTGAGGTGCATATATTAACATAATTTCTAAATTAGAAAGCTACTTTCAGTGATTCTCATAAAAATAAAGGATGTGTGCTCCATTAAAATATACGTAGTAGATTTAGCTTCAGAAGAAATATTTTAATTTTAATTTAAATGAGATGGGTTGTGAGGAGGATAAATGTTGTTGTTGTTGTTGTTGTTGTTGGTGGTGGCAGCACCGTCGCCAGGTGGGCGCGCGCGCGCCCGCCACCCGCCGCCGCCGCCGCCACATTCTCCCTCACACCCTCACACTACTTCACTTGTCCTGCCTTTTCTCGATATGACTTTTTGGATACCACGTAGCCAATGAAGCCATTCTGCACAGCAGAGTGGCGTGGCGGGAGTGGCTAAGCGTGTCCTTCCCTCCATGATGGAGAAAAGTGCACCTGGAAACAAGGTGCATTTGTGACGCATCCTGGTGTTCCCGCCACACTTTGGGGACGAGATGCACCACATTGTTGCCACATCACCACCCACATACTCCACCTCACCACCACAAATCACACTAATAAACCATCCCTAAAGCATTAAAACGCTCATTTCACAGTTAAACATGAGTATAAGTTGATATATACGTGTATGAGAGTTATCAGAGATGATATAGTAAGCGAGGTAGTGTGGTGTGGCAGAATGGAGCGCCGTGCGCGTCATGCAGTGGTCCCCGTACAAAAGTAATCACGTTGCTCGTTCGCCATTTGCAGTAACCGGCCCTTGTGTATGTGTACTATTATACCTACTGACTTGATTATTAAGCAGCGGTTAAAGTTAGTAAGTTGACAGTTGATCCGTTAAGTTGCTTCATGCCAGTAGGTCGTTAAAAGGAGAAAAGTGAGCCATGAAACTGAGGCACCAGTAAGAGTGGCAGGGAAAAATAAGAGGGAAGGTGTTGAGGCTACGACCGTTGTGTTGTGTTATTGAGGCAGCTGCTGCTGAGCAGGTGTTAGCGGCACCATCTGTGGCACTGTGCTGGTAGGCACCCAAGTAGGTAGTGTCACCTGTGCTCCAGGTGGTGTAGGCCTAGTGCCTGACACTGCCACTAGTAGGCCTAGTCCACCACTTGTTTTGGCGGGAGAGTTAGCAGCTGTCTTCTTGCTACTTCTACTTTCTACCTTGACATCTACCTCGTCAACACTGTCCACTACTGTCACACGTCTTACTTATCCTCCAGCAACACTACGTCACTCCTCACTCTTTTCTGCTCAAACTGAAATAAATGATTTTTTTTTCTCCAGTGTTTTCATTGCAGTACTATGTGAGGCTGAGTTATTAAACTGACACTGTACCTCACTACCTCTATATTAGTACCTGTAACATAGTAAGTACTTCTACCTCACTACCTGTCAGTACCTGTAACTTAGTATCTCTTAGTACTTGTACCTCACTGCCTCTATATTAGTACCTGTAACTTAGTATCTCTTAGTACTTGTACCTCACTGCCTCTATATTAGTACCTGTAACTTAGTATCTCTTAGTACTTGTACCTCACTGCCTCTATATTAGTACCTGTAACTTAGTACCTCTTAGTACTTGTACCTCACTGCCTCTATATCAGTACCTGTAACTTAGTATCTCTTAGTTAGTACTTGTACCTCACTGCCTCTATATCAGTACCTGTAACTTAGTACTTCTTAGTACTTGAACCTCACTGCCTCTATATCAGTACCTGTAACTTAGTACCTCTTAGTACTTGTACCTCACTGCCTCTATATTAGTACCCGTAACTTAGTACCTCTTAGTACTTGTACCTCACTGCCTCTATCAGTACCTGTAACTTAGTACCTCTTAGTTAGTACTTGTACCTCACTGCCTCTATATCAGTACCTGCAACTTAGTACCTCTTAGTACTTGTACCTCACTGCCTCTATATTAGTACCTGTAACTTAGTATCTCTTAGTTAGTACTTGTACCTCACTGCCTCTATATCAGTACCTGCAACTTAGTACCTCTTAGTACTTGTACCTCACTACCTCTGTCAGTACCTGTAACTTTGTACCTTTTACTCATTACTTGTACCTCACTACCTCAGCACTTGTACCTCGCTACATCAGCACTTGTACCTCGCTACATCAGCACTTGTACCTCGCTACATCAGCACTTGTACCTCGCTACATCAGCACTTGTACCTCGCTACATCAGCACTTGTACCTCGCTACATCAGCACTTGTACCTCGCTACATCAGCACTTGTACCTCGCTACATCAGCACTTGTACCTCGCTACATCAGCACTTGTACCTCGCTACATCAGCACTTGTACCTCGCTACATCAGCACTTGTACCTCGCTACATCAGCACTTGTACCTCGCTACATCAGCACTTGTACCTCGCTACATCAGCACTTGTACCTTGCTACATCAGCACTTGTACCTCACTACATCAGCACTTGTACCTCGCTACATCAGTACATAAGAGCATAAGAAAGAAGGAACACTGCAGCGGGCCTACTGGCCCATGCAAGGCAGGTCCACATCTACCGGCTTAGCCAATATTTTACCTTACTACCTCAACGTCACTACAGGTACCTCAGTACCTGTAAACTCAGTACTTGTACGTCAACATCAATACCTATACCTCACTACTTGTAACTTAGTACATCTACAAGTACACACAAATATGGTTACATAAATTATCATACATAGCAGCATGTGTAGATTACCCAGGATAACCCAAAGAAGTCAGTGACTTATATTCATTTTAGTCTCAAGGACCCCAGTGGAAATAAGTCACGTCGACATATGCTGATATGTATGATAATTTATGTAGCTATTTATGTATACCTGTACCTGAATAAAACTACTTACCACACCACGTGTAACTCGGTACCTGTACCTCACTACCTGTAACTCGGTACCTGTGCCTCGCTACCTCAATATCAGTACTTGTACCTCACTACCTGTACCTCAGTACTTGTGCCTCACTACCTCAATATCAGTACTTGTACCTCACTACCTGTAACTTGGTACCTGTGCCTCACAACCTGTACCTCGGTACTTGTGCCTCACTACCTCAACATCAGTACCTGTACCTCATTGCCAGTACCTCAGTAGCTCTACCTCACTACTGTATCAGGACCTGTACCTCACTACCTCTATGTCATTACCTGCACCTATTTGTATATCAGGACCTGTACCTCATTACCTCTATATCAGTGCCAGTACCTCAGTACCTGTATCTTGCTACCTCTATCTTAATACCTGTACCTCACTACCTGAACATTGCTACTTGTATCTTGACTTGCACATAGTACCTGTGCCTGATTACCTGAACACCAGTGCCTGTAACTCCATAGTTGCACATCAGTACCTGTAACTTGGTACCTGTAATTCCATAGTTGCACATCAGTACCTGTAATTTTGTACCTGTGACTACATACTTGCACATCAGTACCTGTAACTTCGTACCTGTAACTCCATACTTGCACATCAGTACCTGTAACTGTACCTGTAACTACATACTTGCACATCAGTACCTGTAACTTGGTACCTGTAACTCCATACTTGCACATTAGTACCTGTAACTTTGCACCTGTAACTACATACTTGCACATCAGTGCCTGTAACTTGGTACCTGTAACTACATACTTTCACATTAGTACCAGTAACTCAATATCTCCACTTCCAGTACCTGTAATTCAGTACCTGTACCTGTTTCAGTACCTGTAGCTCATTGCTGAGCTTGTTACCTGTAATTCACTTCGTGTACCTCTATTCATACCACAGAACTTGTAACTCAGGACCTATACATCAGTGCCCGTACCTCACCGCTGCAACACCAGTGTCCGTACCTCACTGTTGCAGCGCCATTGCCCGTATCTCTCTGCCGCAGTGCCAGTGCCCGTATCTCACCACTGCAGCGCCAGTGCCCGTACCTCACCACTGCAGCGCCAGTGCCCGTACCTCACTGCCGCAGCACCAGTGCCCATACCTCACCGCCGCAGCGCCAGTGCCTGTACCTCACCGCCTCAGCGCCAGTGCCCGTACCTCATCGCTGCAGCGCCTGTGCCCATACCTCACTGCCGCAGCGCCAGTGCCTGTACCTCACCGCCGCAGCGCCAGTGCCCGTACCTCACCGCCGCAGTGCCAGTGCCCATACCTCACCGCTGCAGTGCCAGTGCCCATACCTCACCGCTGCAGTGCCAGTGCCCGTACCTCGCCGCTGCAGTGCCAGTGCCCGTACCTCGCCGCTGCAGTGCCAGTGCCCGTACCTCGCCGCCGCAGTGCCAGTGCCCGTACCTCACCGCTGCAGTGCCAGTGCCCGCACCTCACCGCCGCAGTGCCAGTGCCCGTACCTCACCGCCGCAGTGCCAGTGCCCGTACCTCACCGCTGCAACGCCAGTACCCGTACCTCACCGCCGCAATGCCAGTACCCGTACCTCACTGCCGCAACGCTAGTGCCCGTACGTCACCGCCGCAACGCTAGTGCCCTTACCTCATTGCCGCAACACCAGTGCCCGTACCCCCCCGCAACACCAGTGCCTGTACCTCACCCCTGCAATGCCAGTGCCTGTACCTCACCCCTGCAATGCCAGTGCCTGTACCTCACCCCTGCAATGCCAGTGCCTGTACCTCACCCCCACAATGCCAGTGCCCATACCTCACAAGATCTTTCTCCTTACCTCTGTACTTTTCCTGTACATGAAGGAAAAGAGGGAATATAAATGTATAAATTAAAGGATTGTGGATTGAAAAAAGGGTCAGATACAAAACGTGGGTCATAAGTGTATGTACCTAGAGAAGAGAGGTGTATAGAGGAGAGAAATTATGGGAGATGTTAAGCAAGTGTGTAGGAACTTTTGAATCAAGTGAGAGTAATTGTGGTAGGGGACCTAAATGCTTAAGTAGGAGAAACATATAGAGAGGGTGTGGTAGGTAAGTTTGGAGTGCCAGGTGTAAATGATAATTGGGGACCTAGGAACCTTGTATAGAAAGGGGGTTTGGTTATAGATAATACATACTTCAAGAAAAAAAGAGGGTAAATGAGTAAACAAGATAGGTAGGGTGTAATGACATTATTTTGTTGGACTACACATTGGTAGACAAGACTATTGAGTAGACCTCAGGATGTACTTGTTTATAGGGGGGGGCCACAGATAAATCAATCACTTTTTAGTTGTAGCTACAGTGAGAGTAAGAGGTAGATGGGATACAAGGAAAATAGAAGCAGCAACTAAAAGAGATGTGAAGCTTTATAAACTAGAGGAGGAGGCAGTTAGGGTAAGATATAAACAACTATTGGAGGATAGATGGGCTAGTGAGAAGATAGGCAATGAGGTCGAAAATGTATGGGGTAGGTTTAACCCTTTGACTGTTTTGCTCCTATATATACGTCTTACTCGCCACTGTTTCAGACGTATTTATATGTGTAAATTCTAGCGGCTTCAAATCAAGCAGGAAAAAGCTGGTAGGCCCACATGTGAGAGAATGGGTTTGTATGGTCAGTGTGCACCACATAAAAAAAATCCTGCAGCACGCAGTGCGTAATGAGAAAAAAAACTGATCGTTTTTTTGGATTAAAACGCCGACTTTGAGGTGTATTTTCGTATGGTATTTATCGTTTTATCCTCATTTTCATGGTCTTGCGTGATAAAATGGAAAACATATTACAGAAATAGAGATGATTTTGATTAGTTTCACAATGAAAACGCCCTCGAAATTGAGCTCAAAGTAGCGGAAATGTTCGATTTTTACCAATGTTGCAGAGTAAGCAAATCACACCACACGTCCAATACACATCAACTGGGGAGTCTAATATTCTTTCACTAGTGCACTGATATTATTTATAACATTTTTACAATAATGCGGTAGTCTGCATAAAAGTAAATTTTGTATTTTTTGTATGAATAAAAAATCAAAATAGAAAGCAATATTAATATAAGAGGGGCCTAGAGACATGCCTAATGAACACAGGATATGTTATTTTAGTGCCAGTAAGGTCTGCATTGTTTATTCTGGACCCTATTTTGAAATTGGCATCCTCTTCAATTTGTG